ACACAAACACCATTGTTTCAAATTTCATCTTAATAGACTTCCACACACTGCAAAGTATCTCAAAATTGATATATAAGTACGTATGCTTGTGAAATCCCAAAAGTGAAAGGATTGCAATTGGCACCCTTTGGGTCTACTTCCCTCCCCCTTAAAAAATATTTTCGCACCACACACACACACACTATACATGTTTCTCATGAAGAACAGAAGATCACTGTCACATTCACATATGTTGAATCAACGGAACTCCATAATAAACAGTGGCGAGGGTTATGCACTTGCAAGTGCTTCTATAGTTGTGGCACAGCATTATCTCCAGCTGCATGAACTAATGCATTATACACTGCACCTTTACTGTCTTGTGGCTTTGGCTTTTAATGGAGGTGTGGCATTCAATGAATAATACAGTATTAATTTTCATAACTGTTTTGGCAATGAACATGAAGCACGTGTGTTCGCTTGTGCACTATTACCTATCTCGGTGACAGTGACGAGTGCCACTGGCAGTGGCACTCGCACACCGCTCTCGGTAAATGCACATTGAACCCTTTGCATGCCAAAGAAACTATGTACAGCATAGTATTAAAACCTCTATATAAATTCTTGTTCCTTATGGAGACATTTTATGTGTACTGGCTGTTAAGTGCATGTTACATGAAAACCTTATTTATATTCCAGTGAGGGATTTGCCACAATACTTGTCAACACACTGGTGCTGTTTTTTTAAACAGCCCCAAGAGTGTGGATGTATGGTCTAGCACCCGACCACATGGTGCGACCAGACACCCTAGAATTTTTCTACCTGAAATGGGTGCTAGGGAGCACCTCAATTTTAACAGTGTAGTACTCCCACGGCACGACCTCGTGCTACTAGTGCTCCCTCAGCTACCTCGTCGTGGTGCATGGACGCAGTGCTCCTCATCTACAGGTGCTACTAGTGTGCTCCCTCTGGTACCAGTATGCTCCCTCTGCTACCAGTGCTACTGAGTGCTCCCTCACTGCTAGCCTCTGCACCACAGTGCTCCTCAGACAGCCGGAGTGTTACTAGTGCTCCCTCTGCTACTCTGCTACTAGTGCTCACCTCGCTACTAGTACCCCCTCAGCTACCTATGCTATTCTAGATAGGCTCCGTCATGCTACGAGTGCTCCATCTGGTACAGTGCTCACTGCTACTAGTGCTCCTTAGCGTACCTCTGCATAGCTCAGCGTACTCTGCCACTAGTGCTGCACTCTGGTGTACAGTGCTACATCAGTACAGTAGAGAGTCAAAAAAGTAGACGCGAAAGAGGAACGTTACTTGCACGCGTTAGTAACTATTAGTAACCTTAGAACCTGTTGGGGAGAAGAAACTCAGTCCTGATATTAAAGTTACGTCAATGTATGGAGTAACTCTGAAGTCACTGTTTGTAAAGTTACCGTGTAAGAACTTTATAGTCCTGTAAGTTACCTGGAAGTGAGAGTAACGCTGAAAGTAACAAGGGTCTTAGCCCTGGCCCTTAGCTCTTCCCCTTACTGTGAAACATATTCTTTGGTCTTGGCGGCTCGGTCTTACACAAGGATAGATCCAGGGTAAATAACGCGGCGGCCCGTAACTCCAGTTAGCGACCGACGGCCTAGCGATGGCACTAGCGCGGTTCTGTAGCGCGCGATATGCGCCCGTGTATACAAAGAGCGCGGAAGTATTGCAAACCACCAGCGCACAAGAGTATGACCACAACAAGGCAGATACAGATAGAACGGCTGACAAAGCCGGAAGACGGTGAGTAAACAGATTACTATACTGTATTGTCTAATACCGCCTGCCCGTATATGCAGTGTACTACTTAGTACAATGGGTGGAGGTGGTGGAGTGCGGTGGGCCACAAGTGGATTAGTGGGTGTGCTGATGTGGCGGAGGACTGTGGCAGTGAAAGAGGGAAGGAGAACACACCAAGCTAAAATCATTAGTGCTGGTATATACATTGTGCAAATTGGAGGATGAATTAGAGAGAGAATAGTTTGGCTGATATGTATAATTATACAATGCAGACAGTAGTCCAGAGACAGTTGAGTCTGCTGCAGACCAAGAACAAGGGGTGGTGGGGTTTTAAACACCCGCTACGGGAAAAGGGCCCATTCGTTGTCGAATAACAATGCGGAGAAAATTCACGGCCAAGTCAGCATTTAGGGAATCGGCAACGAGTCGCGAATGGGAAAGTATAATCATTTACCTACCGTTTGGGGTGTCTGTGCGACCTTCGTGGAGGACGCTGTGGCGTCTTTGCCGCCGCTCCTTCCCCGTGCGGTCAATCGCGCACGGACATTTCACGGTAAATTTCCGCGGAGTAAAAATACGGAAATAACAACGTGCCACGGGTATCCATTAGCAACAGTGTACAAAGTAAACAGTGTAGAGATGGCTTCCGAGGCGGCGGCCCTCACAGACCTTTTTGCGTCACCGGGCAATTGACAAGGAAGATTTCCTTACGGAATACTTTGGATCCGCCGAAGCGGAAGAGCTAGGTAAACTATGAATAAAGCTAAAATTGAACAAGACAATGAATAACAATAATGCAGAGGATTCATCTAGAGGCTACTGGCTTCGACTCAGGAGTAGCTACAGTTGAGCCAACAACGTCTCCTGCTAGTGCAGAAGAGTTTCAGCAGCCTGCAAGAACAAATTGGTTTGTGTATGTCCACCTGTCACACTAAGCACCTACATTAACTTTCACACAGAGACAACAGAACCACTTGTCGTCAACACAGCAGACTCTGCTTTGGTGCTTCCTGCCCTAGCAGCAGAGGAGGCACAGTCCATCCAGGAATTCATGTCCTGTGGTTGTGGTTGTGCGCTGCGTGGGGGGAGACAATGTAGTAGCCAGTTCACCCTGGATGACTACCTAGAGTTCAGGGGGCAGTGCCGAGTTGACGAGAGCAGAACTGGACATTGCGCTCCTTAGACAGCTCAGTGCGTTCACATTCAGCAGCACTGAACCATTTCGAAGTTCGTCAAATGACCGGCAGCACTCCTACACCATTTTCTGGCACAGAGGGCAGAAAGTGTGCAGGAAAACGTTCCTATTCCTCCACACAATTTCAACAAAGAGGTTTAAAAACCTCAAAACGAGCTTTGGTGAAAATGGCCTATCTCCCCGCATGCATGGGGATGCAAAATGCCTGCCTCGAAACACCGCTGACACACAGAGGGTAGTGCAGTTTATTCAGAATTATGCTGAGGCTCATGCAATCCTACTACCAGGAAGAATCCCGGGGTACAAGAGGTCAGACCTTCAGCTATTACCATCAAGCACTACTAAACACCATGTCTAGCTCTTGTACTCAGAGTCTCTTCACAACCTTCCCTCACCTCCTCATAGAGTGGCTTACTCCACATTCACCAGCATGTGGCATAGGTTTCTACCCCAGATCATGGTGACAAAACCTATGAGCGATCTGTGCTGGGTGTGCCAGAAAAATAGCATTGCCATCATGAGAGCAGCAAACCATCCTGAAGAACAAAAGTCCGAGGTAACATACACAAGAGTATATACACGTACCCAATTTTTTGCCTTCAGATCATCAAGAAGGCAGAAGAGCACATCCTCCTGGCCACAAAGGAAAGATCTCATTATCGTGCAGTATGTGACACTGCCAAGCAGCAGGTTCACTCCCACTTCAAGGATGGTAACACATTCTCTCCACCTCCACCGTCCTCTTGCTCTCAGCCACGTTAATTTGATTTGGCCCAGCAAGTACACTATCCTTCTAACCCCTTCCAACCAGGCCCCATTTATTTTTTTACTCCCCCTAAGTGTGCCCTTTTTGGTGTATGCTGCGAGGCAATTCCCCGGCAAATCACATATTTGATCGACGAGGCATGTGACACCAGAAAGGGGGCAAACACAATAGTGAGCCTACTCCATCACTTCTTTCAAGTGCATGGTCTTGGGGAAAGTGAAGTCCACCTACACGCACAATTGTGTCGGACAGAACAAAAACAATACCATGCTCCAATACCTGCTCTGGCGCACAATATTGTTCGTCTACATGCGAAGATCAACGTATCATTTTTGATCGTAGGCCAAACGAAATTCTCGCCAGATTGGTGCTTCGGGCTTATCAAGCAGTGGTTCCGATGAACCAACATCAACTCCCTTGACAACATAGCCAGAGTTGTCGACCAGTCAGCCAACGTTAACGTCCCACAATTGGTGGGAACGCAGGAGGGCTAAAGAGGGCTATACCGAGGGTGCAGAAGGATAGAAAGCTGAGGGCTTTGGGTATAAAAGAGGGAAGAGTTTGGGGATGATCATCGTTCTACAGCCGACTTCATCCGGACCTCCGGACCTCCAGAGACCAGCCGACTTCCAGGAGGTGTTGACTTGTCCAAGTTCCCCTATCTTGCCGATGTGCCGGATGACGGAGGCGACGAGAAGATGAAGGAACTGGTTGTGCAAGTAAAAGTCGTTCAGACGCAATCGACGCCTTCAAAAGAAAACTCTGGCATCCGGCTTGATGGGGGAAGTTCAGACAGGGACCGGGTCCTGACATTTCTGGAGGACAAGCGGCTAGCCGAGGGCTACGGGTTGAGAAGGAAACCATGACCGATGCGGATAGCCTGCCGATATCTTGATGTGCTACGGTGCTACATTGTGTACAGGAATGCCCACCGGCAGGGAGCTGTTGTCAACCAACCTACGAATAACAGACCAGCAGAGAGCTATCGAACATAAGACAAATATCACCCCCAGGGTGGCTGACCTATCTCAGGGCACTCTAGATTTCCGGACTACCCTGGGGGTTGTGAATATGACATGACGACAACAACACAGATGCGGAAGCTGACCTCGCAGCAGAAGGTGCAACAGACGCCACAATAAGAACAGTGGCCGCCCACATGACGCATGGAGAGATATCCAGAAAGCGGACCTGAGGAAAAGGACAGGCCGGCGAAAGATGTGGAGAAAAATTCGACATGGGGACGCCGACACTGGAACAATTCCTTTGGAGAGATATCAAGAAAGCGGCGAGTTGATCGTCCCAACATTGAAGAAGAGAAAGATGTGGCTGAAGCAAGAAGGGCAGGAGATACGAGAAATATTCGACATGGGGAACACGCCGACACTGGAACAATGCAAGGCCTTCCTGAGTGGCAATACAAACGCCGAACTCTGGGAGGACTGCAAAAGAACTCCAGGACAATGTCGGACCATAATGAGACAGACACAAAGGAACTAATTTCGTGCATTCCTACATAGTACCATCCTGCCAATTGATAATGTCAAAACTTGGTAAGCGCGTGCGGTGCAAGCTGTAATACGCGCCGAGGCAACGCCCACAACTACTATATACTCCCCGAAAGTACTAAAGCCAAGCCTGAGTGGTCCATCATTGACCCTCAGGAATATTCAGGGCTATCAACCAACAGGATTTTTCTATCGTATCAATTGATAATGTCAGAACTTGGTAAGCGTGCGGAGCAAGCGGTGGTTGTATTACGCGCCGAGGCAACGCCCACAACTACTATATACTCCCCGAAAGTACTAAAGCCAAGCCTGAGTGGTCCATCATCGACCCTCAGGAATATTCAGGGCTATCAACCAACAAGATTTTTGTATCGTATCAATTGATAATGTCACAACTTGGTAATCGTGTTGTGCAAGCGGTAGTTGTATTACGCGCCGAGGTAACTACTATATACTCTCCGAAAGTTCTAAAGCCAAGCCTGAGTGGTCCATCATTGACCCTCAGGAATATTCAGGGCTGGAGTAAGCGAACAACCGTCGAACAGATCTATTTTCGAACGGCCATAACTTCTTTCGTATACTATCTACAATAGCGAATCTTTTTGCAGCTTGTAGTTCATTTAGAGCTTAGTTAACGTACCAAGTTAGATTCAGGACCGCTTCACTATCGTCGTGTTACAGTGCTCCGAACACTAGCGTTCGAAGACCGCAAATATCGCACATATGACTCATCCAACGAACGGAGCCCAGAAATCCAGTTCTACACAGGAGACAGGGGTCGGACAGCGGGAATTAAATCTGCCACTTATACCTGCGAAAGCAATAACACGAGGATTTTAATAGGTCACACACGCCAGCATTACAGGCGACGCGAAAATACCAACCGCGCGTTTCAATTAGCGAACGCACGCAATAATTTCGGATAGCGGCGAACGGGCCGCGAGAGGCCGGCTTTTGCTGCTGGGTGCTTTATTTGGGATTGGCGGCTGCTGGTCGTGTTTCCCCGTTTTCATCTCAGCTCTAAGATGTAAGTGGGAACTTGATATGTCTTTGTAGACTAGCCTTTTATAAAGTACAATCCACAATACATCAAAAGGGAGCCCCATAAGCCTGTGGTTTCAATGATTGATGCCGACTAGTTTTATGTTTGTTAGCAGCGGCTGGCGGTCAATATGGACTCTCCCCTACAGATGCAGTTTTACGCCCATCACCCTCTCCCTCAGCGGATTGTTAAGTCTACCAGTAGTTTGTCTTCTTCTTCGTCTGCTGCTCTTGCCCGGGGAAAATATCGCATATGGGAACAGACGGCGCTTGAAAGGGCTATTGATGCCAAAAGGAGTGGGCTTTCGTATAGACGCTCTGCTGCAATGTATGGAATACCAACCACAACCTTGCATGATCATATGTCTGGCAAGATAGAAATTGGTGCTAAGCCAGGCCCGAAACGTTACCTCAATGACAAGGAAGAAGAGGAATTGGCCGGTTTTTTGGTTCAGGTCGCAGCTATTGGTTACCCTAAAACCAAAACAGGTTCTTGCCTTAGTACAGCAAATTATTGAAAGTAAGGGGATTTCAGCTACAGTGAGTAATGGGTGGTGGGAGAGGTTTGTTGTGCGCCATTCAGAGCTTACTCTTCGTACGGCAGTCCTACTATCTTTAGCGCGTGCGAAGGCTACTGACCCGGATGTATTTGCAAAATATTTTGATATACTTGAAGAGTGTTTCCTTCAAAACGAAATATTTGATAAGCCTTCTGCCATATATAATTGTGATGAGACGGGCCTGCCTCTGAACCCTGCATGTGGGAAAGTGGTGACCAAGGCCAGTCGTAAGGATGCGAATTTCGTAACAGGAGGGGATAAATCCCAGGTTACTGTTCTTGCGTGCACAAGCACCGCCGGATTTGCCCTGCCGCCATTCGTAATTTTTGATCGCCAGTCTCTGAACCAAGGAATGACAAAGGGTGAGGTCCCGGGGACCTTGTATGGCTTGTCTCGAAACGGGTGGATTAATAGTGAGCTCTTTTATCATTGGTTTCTTCATCACTTTCTTCAGTATGCTCCACCAACACGTCCACTGATTTTACTTCTAGATGGGCACTCGTCACACTACTCGCCTGCCACGATAAAGTTAGTTGCGGAAAATCAAGTTATTGTTTTCGTATTACCACCTAATACTACACATGTTGCTCAGCCATAGATCGGGGGTGTTTTTCTCCATTAAAATCTGCATGGAGAAAATACTGTCATGATTTTCGAGCCAAAAATCCAGGCAGGGTTGTTACACGTTATGAGTTTAATCAAATGACCGGCAGTAACATTATCGCTAGCTTTAAGGCCACAGGCGTATGTCCATTCAATAGGCATGTGTTTGATAATTCGGTCAAAACTGAAGGAATACAGGCAGATAGCCTTGCGAAGAGGACAGGCTTGGCATATATTCCTCTCTATAGTCCTGCTCGTCGAAGTAATGTGAAGCCACTTATGGCTTCGACACCTAAGCCATCTTCTCACAGCGAACACTCACTCTCCGACTCCGAAGTTTCACTTACTATCAAGTCTCCACAAAATGCTTCATCATTACGCCATACGTCTTTTGATGATAGCTGGTGTTCGAAAGCTCCAGTTCCACTTAGGCAAACAACCAGCATCAGTAAATTTCTACCACTACCGGCTCGACCTAGTCAATTAGAGACAAAACACGGGAAATCGTCTGGATGCGTGCTTACTAGTCAGGAAAATTTACACTTACTGGAAGAAAAAGCCGCGAAGAAGCAAGAAGCTCTCAGGCAGAAAGAGGAGAGAAAGAGGCGTATTGAAGATCGAAAGCTACAGCATACAGGCCGAGGGAAGGATGAGAAAACCAAATGTGTGTTATTCTATCCAGCTACTCATTTTCTTTACAAATCCTGCTCATGTGTCTGATTATTTAACAGGTAAAAGAAAACCTGTAAAAGTTTCGTTTGCTCAAACTTACGAGAACAGTATGGTGGAAGGTATATATGAGGTTGTTTACTTTTGAGATTACCCATAACCCCTTTTCTAGAAAATGACGAAACTCCCTGTTGCATCAGACCTGGCAGTTCTGAACCACAAAAGGTGATTAAAGGAAACGTTCCTCGGACTTCTACTGTCCAGCCAGTGGGACTGATATCAGATCGACCACAACCACTTCAGCAGAAAAATACAGGTAATGTGCAGTACTTGAGTGAATATACCTACCATAGCTAAGCAGAGATTTTTATTAGTAAATTGTGTTACTTATTAGACAAAACTTCTACTGGACCTGGTTCAAAAAATGAGACGACATCGAGGATCAAGGGCCTACGAACAGGACTAAGATCTGCCACGGCAAAGCTGCCAAAAGATACAGGTATGTATTTTGGCACTTCTTGTATTAACCAATATCATTTGTATCACAGGAAAAAAGAGTCCGGCAGTCGCAACTACACTATCTGTACCACAAAGCAGGAAGGAGCGAGGTAATGTATCACATAAGATGTCCAGATAAAACTGTATAATTGTGTGATAAATAGACTCAAAGATGGACTCTGATAGGACACCAGGGCAGTGGACAAAAGGCTTAAGATCACAACTGAGATCAAGTAAACCAGGTATATGGTTGTTGCTACCAGTGATTCAGGTATAGTCACAAATTGAGAATTTACTGGTTATTGTTTCCTCTACTAGACCACAAAAAAGCTACTTCTTCTGATGCACCCATCAGTTCTGGCTCGAAGAATGAGACCGACCAATCAAAGTCCACAGGTCTACGGACAGGATTACGATCAGCTAGAAGTGCCACAGCAAAGCAGCTGAAAAATCCAGGTAAGTAATTTTAGCACTCCTCACATTACATTATGTCATTTCTACAGGAAAAGAGTGTTCCGCAGTCACAACAACACCACCTGTAACACACAGCAGGAAGAGAGGTGATATTACTTCATTTGAGATTACTACACTATTCATGTGATCCTATGTAGTTACTGACAGTAAGACAGGCTCTGAAAAAACGCCAGTGCAGAGACACGCAGGTCTAAGATCAGGAGTTAGATTGAGCAGAGCAACTGCTATGCGTCCTACAGGTATGAATGTTTCCACGCTCGCTGGCACTCTCTTTACATATTCCACAAAGTGCTCGGGTAGCCACATATCTAGGACAATCACATAGATAGACCATGTGTCAAGTCATGAAGGTTCATGGCCACGTTGTACGCGATAATGCATACCTAACTGGCCCAGAGTTTCTATACCATCATGAAAAACATTTTTCTTGACTTATGCATTCATTTATTTGCTAATTAAATATTCATGAGGCTATTAAGTCGGCACATCACATGCAACATGTTAGTAGTAATTACTTTGCTCAGGTATTAAGACTGAACCAAAACGGGCTGCTATGGACCCTGTGGCAAAAACAAATTGTGAGAGTCAGAAACCAGGTAAAATATTTGGTAGCTGCCTACTTAGGATATATTATACCAACCTTTTATCAGCAGACTGTATAGTAGTGTCTGATACTGATCCTGACCCAGACTATTGGATAAAGGAGCTTGACCTATTTGACTTGGATCTACAATGTCTGAGGGACGGCAAGGATTTATCAGAGAATGTAATTAATGCCGCTCAAGTGGTGTTGAAAACACAGTTCAAAGTAGAAGGTTTCCTCGCTACTGCTAAGAGTCAGTCCCTGAAGTATAGCTCCTTGTCTGAAGGTGTTCTGTGCGTGCAAATTCTTTATACAGGTATTACAACACTATCGTCATTAGTGTGTATGTATAATAATTATTCATGTAGCTACGAACTTTACTTATATACCTCATTGATTATTCCTCTGTATATAACCACTGATTTTATGGGTAGGTAGTCCCTCAGCAAAATTAGTGTTGGTGCTATTATATTCTACTGTTATGGCGTGCAGTGTTTAGGCAATATTATTATGAATCACCTGAGTGGGACATGGGGTATATACAAAACAGTTGATGATCTAAGCTACCCATAATTTTACAGTAATTATACTGTTCGTTTGCTGAAGTCTGCAGCTATGTGGCTTTTTTGATACAGGTGCTCATCATTGGATATGCACTGCACGTTGGACAACTGGTCCTGTCCAGTTGTATGATAGTAGAGCAATTGTCTCTGATCCTATGACCCCAGAAATAAAGCTCCAACTTTCAAAGCTCTTCTCTCCTCCTCAGTCAAAGTCTTCCTTGCGCATTGAAATACTACCAGTTCAGCAACAAGAGGGTGTCCACGATTGCGGGCTCTTTTCTATAGCCTATGCTACTGAGGTCTGTGTGGGAGTGAAACCTGAATCTGTACACTTTGATCAACCAAAAATGAAGCAGCACTTAATTACATGTCTTGAAAAAAGACATTTCCAGCCATTTCCCAAAGCTACTGGAATCGAAAGTGTGCCTCGCCCAACACGCCAATTTACACGTATCAAATTATATTGCATATGCCATATGCCCGAGTGTTATGACACAAGGATGATTGCCTGTGACAAATGTAATAAATGGTACCATTTCTCATGTGTGTTAAAGGCCAGAAAGACCCCGACATATTGGCTGTGCAACATTTGTAGTTGTATGTAATGCTTTTTGTTACCTTTAATAACCGCAACGCACAACATGCGATATGTTCGCTAATTGAAGCGCGAGATTGCTAAATTTGCCGGGTCGTAACACGGTGATAACAGAAGTTTTTTGCAAGAAACTTTGACTGCGAACTAACGTGGTCTGATAGGGTTTTTCATCCGTTATTTCGCTTCGCTACGTCATTCACAGCGGAATATATGGGCGGTGTTCGCTTATTGACGCGATCGTGCGATTTTTGCGGTCTTCGAACGCTAGTGTTTGGACCACTGTAACACGACGGTGGTGAAGTGGTCCAGGATCTAACTTGGTACGTTAACTAAGCTCTAAATGAACTACAAGCTGCAAAAAGATTGGCTATTCTAAAGTTATGGCTGTTCGAAAATAGATCTGTTCGACGGTTGATCGCTTACTCTACCCCCCTTGCCAACAGAATCATTTCCATCTGGTAATAAACCCCGAGTGTTTTATTTCCTTCTTTTGGTGTTGTTAAAAAACCATAATTCTTCTCGGATTACGATTGATTACCCTTCTTGAAATTATCTGTCTACCCATTCTCGCTGATCTAATGCTAGGTTCCACAGCTAAGGTGACCACCATGGTGTCTTCCTCGGGACTTGATGCTACTAAATTTGCCCCCTCACCAACTGAGTCACCTCCACCTGGTAGGATACATTCACTGGACATGATAATTATAGTACTGCTACCTTTAATCCCATGCTAGGTTTCACGTCATCATGGGTGTACACAACAGGACTTGCTGCTACCAGAACTGCCCCCTCACCAACTGGATCACCTTCACCTGGTAGGATATATGCATATGGGCATGATACCTTATTCCTAGTACTGCTATAATACTTTATTTCATGCCTGGTTTCACGAGTACAGTGACCACTTCAGTGTATAAAACAGTACTTGATACTACCACAGTTTCACCCTTGCCAACTGAATCACTTCCATCTGGTAATAAACCCAAGTGTTTATTCTTTCTTTTGATGTTGTAAAATTTCGTAACAACAAAAATGTCATGATTAGTTGCCCTTCTTAAAATTATCCTGTATACCTGTGTACATCTTTGAGTAATGTGTTTGCCAGTGGGGTAAGTTGTTTATATGTGTGTTCCAGTGAATACAGATACTTCAAGTGATGATTCAGGGACTCTTGTGTCAGTCACTCCTACTCCAACTGTTACCTCTACCACCACTACTCCACCTGTACCACTGCTCCCCACAAGTAAAAATTAGCTCTCTGTGGCAGTGTGAAGTGATGGTTACCTGTGTGTGTTTCAGAGTGTCTGTCTGAGTATGTCATATTTATCTGTGTGTGTCCATTCAACAAAAGCAGGCAACTGACTGGTCAGAGTGACCGTTACAGCACTTTGTGTTTTTCCGTGTGTGTGTGTGTGTGTGTGTGTGTGTGTGTAATGTGTTTGTCTGTCCGTCTGTCTCTTCGTAAGCTGATTTGCCACAACAGGCAATGCGGCAGTGAAACTGTATAATCAGCTTGGTTCTACGAGCTAATGCGAATTTCGTAAATAAATTACGGGTAGGTAGCTTATGTAAGTACTGAGCATATATACAAACCAAGGTTATTTGTACTATATTTTTAGAGCACAGTAACTGAAAATTCCAGGGAAGTTTCGGGATATGAAGTGTGTCTTTGCCGACTAGATGTGAAAACTGTGTGTACTGTATATGCAACAAAGCTCCCATAAATTAGCAGAGCTAGCCTAAAAATGGTACAATGCCGTGTTTCTTTTGTGTATAGTGAACAAAGGAAAACAAAGGTCAGTGTGTGCCTGCTAATAACCTGTAAACACAGTGTTAATTTCGTTCTGATGTCTACCAGAAGGATGTTTAACCACTAATCCAGAACACACAGAGAAAGTCCCACCAACATGCAAACATATTATTACATGTGTGCCGTTTCACAGGTACAGTGACTACCATGGTGTCTTCTGCCGTCTCTGTAACACCACATAGTACTCAACCTGTGTCTTCATCAATTAATGAATCTGGTAGGAATGTCCACATAATGTTGTATTTACACATGTTGACAACATATTCCTAACCTGTATTATAGACACAACACGTGGCATTATAACACCTCCAGTTTCAGTCACTCCTACTACCTCTGTCAACCCAACCAGCACAATTCCACTAGCATCATCACCAACAAGTACGCCCCAATTACTTCTTTACCATTTAGACATTCGTAACCGTAATGGTGACATTGCAACAAATCTTCCAAGATTAATACTGTGCAACATATACCCACATTAACAGTACTGTGTTTCAGCTCCTTTCTTAGTTTATGTCATGAGTAGTTTTCTACTCAAAATGTAAATGTCGTAGCATGAGTTCTACACAACGCAATTCTTTCCCATTCGGATGCTGAAATTTACTGTAATGGCCTACATTTCTGCGCCTTCATACTTTCAACTGGTAGGAGGAAACAATATCCTCGTTATGTTGCAATATACACATTTTCCTATCTTGTATTGCACATGGCATATGACTCTGTCTCACTAGCTCCTACTACTATATACTGTAAGCTAACAACCATCGCACTCACTAGTATCATCACCACTACAAAACTATTAATTTTAATGAGGTCACCACTTATCGATATATAAAAACGCGCCTCTTCTCCTGGGACCTGAATGTGGCCTGGCCTGTTCTAGTCCAGTAGTCAGCTTCTGTTCACCTGACCTGTGTCTATTTGCGTAGGCATTACCTAGGTTCATGGACTACGTACTACTTCACTCTTTTGCCAAAACTGTGTTCACTAGTTTCTCCAGGTACATAGGTATCACGTTTCCTCATGACGGAGCTTATTATCACATTGCTAATTAGCAATATTAACAGGCTTTGGGACTCAAATGTTTTGGCTACATTATCGACATTGATACATGTGAATGTTGCCAGGCAGATGGAGCTCTTCAGTGCATGACTAGTAATGTCCTCAGCCCAAACAGTGGCACCTTTATACACTACACAGTTCAACATGGAAATATTCAATGGTGATTCAGGTGGCCGCATGCACAAGGTGTATATAGTCTCTTATGCTATATGGTCTCATATTCGCAACGTCCATCACCTCTACTCAATGGTATACTGAATTATATGTGTATAACTATGTTACGCATCTCGCATTCAGATGACTAGGTAGGCCCTCTTTGCCAGCTAAATAGCTGCATATGGCATAACATAAGTAATGTAATTGGTGAACAATGAACAAACTTGGGGAGATGGGTCTATGTAATATTTAAACTTTGCACTTTCACTTCAACCAGAGTCGTTGTCCATTTCAGACAACAACAGGTTAGCTTCCAATGACATAACTAGGCACATTCTTCTCAACATTCCCTTTAATTTAAATTACACCCATCGTTGAGGGTTCACTCATCTGTGTCATCTACATCTGCTAGTGTGACATCCTACATTGCCAAATACTGGTAAATCAATTGTGCAAAGATCACTGTTTTTCCTCAGGCTGTCAATGCTTATTCATGAGTGTCAGTACACACATAATCAGCTGCTCTATAAACAAGTATATAAACAAGATACCCAACTTTATCATTTTTAGCTGTGATAACTATATCCTTTCAACAGTCCATAATTACTGAACCTCACATGTTGTAAAAACCAAATGTTACTTGCGTAAATTCTGTTATCCTTGATTACTAGAACCCACATCGGCAATGTTTTTTTTTCTCCCGTGGGGTCTACATCTACTGGTATCACTGCTACACTGCCAAATATGCCACCTAACGACTAGACGTGCGCGAATATCCCATTGCACCCATACACATGGTAGCGATGTCGAACAAGTCAACTACACCCAGGACAGCTCCTTTTTATCAAAGAAAAAAAGAAGAGCTGCCCATGGTGGGATTTGAACCCACGACACCCTGCTTGTGCACGTGTGTATTTAGAAACACGTTAGACATTATGGTAAGGGTGGCAACGCGTATGTATATCTGTCAGTGTAACACCTGATGGAATTGTCTTCTTAGTTACAAGTACATCAGCCAAGGTGCAGACTAATCCATCATCTACTGATGGAAATGTCATATGCACCAAGAGTTACAAATGGCCACATAACCAAATTTTTTTCACACATTTCGCAACAACTATGGGATTCTCTGTATTTCTTTCTGATATGCCATCTCCTACCCCATCACAGTCTGAGGACTACAGTATCAATAATTATAGTCTCTAATCCAGATTATTTACAATTTTACAGAAAGCAGAGGTGATAAAATGTACACTTTTGAAAATTTCCTAGAAGCTGTTTTGGTTGCAACTTCATCTGTCAGTGTTACACCTACTGGCCACCCAACTGATCCTGATGTAGACCTTACTGATGCTCAACGTCCACAAACGGTAAGGTTCCTCAGTTGTTGGTTCGAGCTTTTAGAGGTTGAAAAATAATTCTCTCAAATTGCAGATTCCAGATTTGACTATACCTGGATACTGATTCTTCTCTTGGCAATCATAATAGCATTAATTCTGTTTTGCATCATAGTCTTCTGCGTTTGCATCTGTCGGTAAGTCACACCCTAACTCTACACATGTAAGGTAATGTAAGAATGTAAGGTTATGAGAGAGGTGTGGAATATCTTTCTTTACCAGGTTACCTCAGATCCACCCTAGCTGTACACACACATTGGTAATGTAAGGGCGTGAGCAGGGCACTGAATGGCGTTCTTTACCGGGTTACCTCAGATTAATTAGGGTCACACCCTAACTGCATCCATAGGTAAAGTGAGCACACAAGTGAGGCACGGCATAGCTTTCTTGACCGGGGCTCACCTTTCACACCCTAACTGTTTTATATTGTGTATCTGGAAATCCTCTTTCACCAGGAGGCGATGTTGTACTAAGTCAAAGAAGATGTCCCTCAAGAGGCTGAGTCTGTCTTTGGGTTTTGAAAGCTTCCACGGGTTCACTCCCACTTCTCTCCACACTAACCCCTTCTACATCTCCCATGACAGCGAGGCTATTGAGCACGCTCTCTCCACAGAGACAACAATGATTGGTATGTCAATTAAAAAATATTTTTTTATTGACAATTGATTCTGAACGTGTTTTGGGTTTTCCATCACAGAGCCAGTGATGGCACCTATTGAAGAGAAGACTGATGATCTGGAAAAATATTTGCTCGACATTGAGGTAAGGGGAGAAGTACGTATACAGGCGGAGGATACTTAGCTTTATTTGTCTCTCAGGGAAGTGACGACTCTCCTACACTGAAGGAAAATGCCTTCTTTGATCCAATCTTGTCTGAAGTGTTTGGAGATTACGTCACACGATGTCACTCCAGTGACAACAGAGACTTCAAACATCAGTTTACAGTGAGATTGGATTGAGCATTTGCATACATGAGGCAACACTAAACTACACCTGGACTCTGTTTCAGGTGATGCAAGACTGTGGTGCAGGCTTTTCCACGATTGCTGGATCTAACACGAGTCTGCAAAAGCTCAACAGATATAAAAATATCATGCCATGTAAGGCATTACTGTTGCCATCTGTGCTCTATTCATTTATGGATCGTGTCAATCCAGATGATGATAACAGGGTCTTACTCATGGCAGTTGAAGGACACACTGAGTACAAAGGAGACTACATTAATGCCAGTTACATTGATGTAAGCTGGATCCTATCTACTATGTCCATTCCATAATGTGCAGTGAACTTACTTGCATGAGTGTAACACATATGTAAAGCTCACTCCTATGTATAGGGATACAACTTTGAGCACAAGTTCATAGCCACGCAAGGTAAGCCAAAGTAGTAGTCAGGCTGTCTTTGATGCAAGGTGTTTACTACAGGACCACTGCCTAACACAACTGTTGACTTCTGGAGGATGGTGTGGCAGGAGAGGTCTCAGAGCATTGTGATGGTCACCAATCCGGTGGAGGGAAATAGGATCAAGTGTCACAAGTACTGGCCGGAGACTGGGATGCTGTCCTTTGGTCCCTTCAATGTCACCATCACAGGACAACAGATACTGGCTGACTACACCACTCGGGAGTTTAGTGTCCAGGTAAATGCAATCATATTATGTGTGTGTATGTGATTATCATGAAGCAATTGTCACTCTCACAGCTGGCAGATAGCTCAGAACCAGCTCTGAGTGTGACTCAGTTCCACTTCACAGCCTGGCCTGACCATGGAGTGCCTGACTATGCCACTTCACTTCTGGCCTTCCACAAAAAAATGAAGAAACATCACAAGGGAGGAATGGGACCAATTATTGTCCACTGCAGGTACAACAATTTGCATAGTATAAGCTTAAACGACTACGTTGCCTATTCAAACAGTGCTGGTGTTGGGAGGACAGGGACTCTGATAACTATTGACTGTGTTCTTGAGCAGCTGCAAGAGGAGAAGGTGGTGGATATAGCTGGTGTCATCATCCACCTCCGCACACAGAGAATGAAAATGGTCCAGAGCTTGGTGAGTGGTGCAACTAGTGGGGATGGGATACACCTGGCAGTGCATACACTGCTTATGTATCACTATCTGGCTTAGAGGTTATGTCACTACTGCCTACTATAGGAATTTGTGAGGTCCTCTTCAATTCTTTTCCAGTCCATTGCATCGTGTAGTAGTGTGCATAGCTATTCCAGTGACCGTATTTGGTGTTGCTGTCGAACACAGGAACAATATATCTTCATCCATGATGCTATCCTTGAGGTCCTGACATGCGGTGATACCCAAATCGATGCCTGTAACCTCCGCAGAGTTACTCAGAAAATGACTGAATGTGACACACAAACCAATCTCAACGATTTTGAAAAGCAGTTCGAGGTAAAATCAATGCACATTAGCTATCAATAAATACTAAACTGAGCATTTTCAAATGCGTAGGTACTTGAGAAGGTTTCTGTAAAGCCAGGAGAGATTGCAAGGAGCGAGGCTCTTCGTAATCCCACCAAGAATCGGAGTGATGACTACCTCCCTGGTAGGTTCTATGAGTCATGTACTCACTGTGGTCATGTGTATGAAAATACAACGTGTGGTGTGTGTGTTGTGTGGGTGAGTGTGTGTTGATATTTCTCTCTCATTCTTTGTAAAACTCATACTGTAGGTGATGCCTGGCGTGTGGCACTGAGAGGACATCTCCAGACTTATATCCACGCCGTTTTTGTTAATGTATGCACTCCTTTGGGTGACACTTTTACTTAATTTCACCAACTGCATTTTCGTTTCGCAGGGTTACAAGCAACAGAGAGCATTCATCATAGCTCAGAGTCCCATGGAGTCCACAGCCAGAGATTTCTGGAAGATGGTCCATGACAGGAAGTGTGGAGTCATTGTTATGCTCTGTGACTTGGTGGAAGACGAACAGGTAGCCAAACCCTACTCTGGCACAGTGACTCTCGTAGCTACAAGTGCTCTTGAAAACTGCAGGAGACGTGTTACCAGTATTGGCCTCAGACTGGACTGATTCAGTTTGTGGGCTACACAGTTGATCTGATGGAGGAAAAGGTCATGGAGGGATTCATCATACGCAAAATAAGCGTCTACAGTGAGAAGGTATTAAGGAAGGTTTTCATAGGTGGTAGAAAATATATTTTGGGGTTCTTTTTTTATACAGGCAGGCAGTGCCCACCAGGTGGTTCAGTTGCACATGACTAACTGGAGTCGTGATGGCAGCTGCTCTCACCTGGCCACTATCACCAGTGTGATAAATGAGATGTCTGCCATTCAGAGGAGAACTGGCAACAATCCTGTTGTAGTACACTGCAGGTCAGGAACTAGTCTGTGGTATAATAGACAGCTGTCAACAATATCTGAGGTTGGCCATTGTGGGATGTGGCTATCAATCCAAGGAATGTATAGAGTCATTGTCCTGACCAGTGGTCACCAGCCTTGTGGAACCTCTGCATTCTCTAGTCCTTTCCCTAGCTTGCTGCCCAGCAACAATCAAACCTACACTGAGTGTCTCCTCCTTGTATTGTTGAGGTACA